TAAAGTTGTTTGTGGTACTAAATATGATAAAAAGCCTGTACAGTACCATACAGTACATAAATTATGAAGGAAACAAAAAATAGCCACAATAAAAAAGAGGAAATAAAACATCAGAGGATTAAGGTTTACTTTTTATATTATCCTTCACAGTCTAGTTTTCTCTTACCCCCTCCCACCACTTATCACCTGACTAACCTTTAGGGCAGTTGCTTTGGTCTTTGTTACTTTATTATGACCTTTATTGTCCAGTGTTAAAACAAGAGGAAACTGGAGTATCTGGAGAAAACTGTGATGTTTGGTAGGTCACGTTAGATAACACTCTTCATATGTCTGTCCCAGGTCGAGGACTGAACCCAGAACATAGTTGTAAGAGATACGTCCTTTACCACTGTGCTACCAAGAGAAATTTAATATACATAACGTCTGAGATACAGTAATGGAAGTTGCACATAAATTACAGAAAAGAATTTTGCCCCGATAGAATAAAGGAAAAATAAAATCAATCAAATTCATTATCCAGTTTTAAAATGACTACAGGTACTCTGTTCTGCTCAAGCTAATGAGTCCTGTAGGATTCCGCAGGGACTATTGGAGTGTACCTCTGCTGCTGCTATGGCCAAAACCTCCACTGAACCTGAGGTGATTTAATGGTGTTGGTTATTACCGTCACACCAACTGATCAATGTACAGGGGGTCCCCGACTTACGAACATCCGACTTATGAACGTCCGCTGATACGAACGGAGTTAAACTTGAAATTTACAGTATTTTATTTACCTGATGACTTATTCTTTACTTTCATTTACTGTATTTTGTCATTCTATTTCTTCTTTTATCTTAAATTAAGTGATTTTAGATGTATATAAGGAATTAGGCTATGATATAGTTGGATTTTAAGCATTGTTCTGTAAGTACGGTATGCACATAACATGTGCTTCGACTTACGTGCAAATCCGACTTAAGAACGTCCTCAGGAACGTAACCCGTTAGGAACCCAGGGACCCCCTGTACAGTAGTACTGTATGTGGGATTTAACATTTTATCATTTAAGGCCATTAAAAGCACTTGCATCCATACCAAAAATTACATGGGAGGGTGGGGGTAGTACCCTGAGTCTAAGAACAATGAATACAACTTTTTTTTTCTCTCATAAGTTTGATTTATATAAACTGTAACAATCAAGAACTAACCCTAAGAACTTGGGGCTAAGTGTACACTGTAATCAGTTTTGTTTTCACCCAGTTTAAAGGTTTGTCATTATTCCTAATTCACAAGTTATATTCTTTTTTCTTTGATAATATCTAACATTGTTAAAATTATATCAACAAAGTGTGATGGATGATGGAATATTATGTTAATTGTTGTTTTGTAAAATAAACAAAATACCAGTCGCTTTTTATTTACAGGTATCCCTCATTATTCAAATGATAGCTATCTGAAAATTCTATTTAACTATCCAAAAGTGATTCATGTTCATCTGAAGGATGGTCAGAACGAAAACTGAAATCATGTGCCCCAGATGTTGCCCAGGAGTCAGCTAGATCACCTCCCTCACATAATGTAGTGTACAGTACAGTATACAATACTGTACAAGTACAGTATACAATACTATACAAGTACAGTATACAATACTGTACAAGTACAGTATACTGTACTGTGCTTTCTGTAGTGGCACTGACCATTGTTCCACTATTCTATACTGAAGTTTTTTTTAAGGGAAGAAATATATTTCAAAAGAAGTCTGAGGTGGTCAGGTGGTCTGCTTAATATCCTGTATGAAGCATTCCTTTTTGTTGACAATCAAAAGGTAAAATAAGTAGCTACTGTATGTAGTAAGTGGGTCATATGAATAAAAAATCTTACTTTACAAGGATTGACAAGGTTGGAATTGCCAGTAAATTGTTAAGCATCAATATTATAAATAAATACTGTAATGAATAGTAGTCATTATTTGCTGTGTCTAGTATTGAAATCCAAAATCATGCACAGTAGTCTACTATTGCTGCAACATCATTACTGTACCAAGTAATCTGCACTAGTAAACTTACATTTTTAAGCCCAATGCTACTGAAAAATATTACTAATTCCAGTGCAATAAAATTAATCTTTATTATTCTCAAGAATTAAAAATCAATTTTTCTTGTTGTTCATACTTCAAGTTCCAAGCATCAAAAATTATTTACACCAGAATTATCTCCTACAACCTCTTTTCAGTTTTATAACATAAAAAACTATCATAAAACAACTACTACAGTACATTAATAATGCTAAAAAATAAAAAAATGCAAACAAAGTTCTGTATTATTAGATTCTTGAAATTCAGTAAACTCAACAAAGTACTGTACAGTATACAGTATGTACCTAAAATAGATGAGAAATTCATAAAGACGTCTTATTAATACTACAGTAAAATATGTCTTTTACCAAAAATTTGAGCATTTTAAATATGAAATTTCACAATATAGAATAGTACCGTATTTTAATTTTCTAAATACCCCTGAATTACATGAGAGTAAAGGAGGAGAAATTGGACAATCACACAACTGGCTTAGTGATGGTGTGCATAGAGGTGTGAGTGATGAGTCTACAGTACAGTACTTGTCTTCATGTAAGGTTGACGAGTAAGTTACAGTACAGTATACTGTATGGTGATTGTACGAGAATGATGACACATTGACAACTTTTAGCAGACTTAATAACACTGAGTGTGATGCAGTAAGTTGGTGTACAGAAAATAATAATACTGTAGAACCAAACTGACACAAGTACATACAGGTAATATGTTTATTACATCCTTATATCCACTTTATACAATTATCAAATTTATGGATGTCTCTTGGTCCTGTACTTTTTGGTATATATATATATATATATATATATATATATATATATATATATATATATATATATATATATATATATATATATATATATATATATATATATATATATATATATATATATATATATATATATATATATATACAGTTGTACCCCACTTAACGCGGTCAATTGAACCCAGAGGGTCCCGCGTTAAGTGAAAACCACGTTAAGTGAATAACAGAACATATGGGATTAATTCCAATAGAACCCAGCCCGACCCCCAAACTCCACTTTTTGACGACAAATAACTATGTTGTAGTAAAAATAACATCTTAATTTTATGATGGTACATGCACACAATTAATACTTAAGAGAAATAGAGAAATACAGTCGCCAAGTTAATGTCCATTCAAATAATGGACTCAACTCCCTCCCCCTCTTCTCACACTACACTCACTGGCTCTTCCCTCTGAGAAATTTTTTGGGGAAAACCAGGTATAGTAATAAATAATTCCTCAAACTAAAGTTAGGATAATATAATTGACATTGCTGGATTCCTTGTAAGACCAGGAATATTTTGAATATAAATGTCATATATTTTTCACAAAAGATAACATAATTACCTAGAGAACAATTTTTATCTAAAAATTGTATGTTTAATGCAAAATATATGTTGTTTATATTCAAAATGATCACCAAATTATAAGAATTCCAGCAATGTAAATTATATTCTGGCCGGATAATTTGTATGAATTTTATGAGCTAAAACAAATATCTACAGTTAATAAAAAAAAAAAAATATTCTTCAACACTATCTGTCAATCAAAGTACCCCACCTTGCCTCCCCCCCTCTTCCAACCTCGCGGTCAGTCCCAACCCTCCCTCCACCTCCCACCAATCCTCCATTCAAGAGTTTTTAACATTTAGTATTAAATAATACCTCAGATTAAAGTTAGGATAATATAATTGACATTGCTGGATTCCTTGTAAGACCAGGAATATTTTGAATATAAATGTCATATATTTTGGACAAAAGATAACATAATTACCTAGAGAACAATTTTTATCTAAAAATTGTATGTTTAATGCAAAATATATGTTGTTTATATTCAAAATGATCACCAAATTATAAGAATTCCAGCAATGTAAATTATATTCTGACCGGGTAATTTGTATGAATTTTATGAGCTAAAACAAATATCTTCAGTTAAAAAAAAAAATAATTCTTCACCGGGTAACAGATGGTCGGTCGGTCGGTCGGTCCCTCCCTCCCCCCCACCCCCCACCCCCCACCAACCGTCCCAAGGAGATGTGTGGGATAACCACTAAATTTTAATAAATAATACCTCAAACTAAAGTTAGGATAATATAATTGACATTGCTGGATTCCTTGTAAGACCAGGAATATTTTGAATATAAATGTCATATATTTTGGACAAAAGATAACATAATTACCTAGAGAACAATTTTTATCTAAAAATTGTATGTTTAATGCAAAATATATGTTGTTTATATTCAAAATGATCACCAAATTATAAGAATTCCAGCAATGTAAATTATATTCTGGCTGGGTAATTTGTATGAATTTTATGAGCTAAAACAGGCAGTCAGGCAGGGTGGCGGGTGGTGCGAATCTAAAAATAGCTCTCGAGCCGGACACTCACCGCGTTGCTGTGGAAAAATCCGCGTTAAGTGAAAGTTCAGCTTTGGCAAGGCACCGCGTATATGCGAAAACGCGTTAAGTGAAAGCGCGTTAAGCGGGGTAATACTGTATATATATATATATATATATATATATATATATATATATATATATATATATATATATATATATATATATATATATATATATATATATATATATATATATATATATATATATATCCTCCCCGACTTACGACGGGGTTAGGGACCCAAATCCAGGTCGTAAGTCGAAAATGCCTAAATAATACATATAAAATCTAAAATGGGTGTCTCTTTTTCTTCTCAGCACCACAAAACTTTCACTTATAAGCTTGCCAGCCATTTCAAAGTGAATTACAAACGAAAATTTTGTGTGTGTACTGACGTTGGGACTAAAAAATACGTAATTTGACAAAATTTTGGTACAACTGAGGCAGGTCGTAAGTCGGGGAGGAGCTGTATATACTGTATACATGTGTGTAAAATAAAAACAAATTCAATAATGACACATGTACAGTCATTCCTATTTATTTCAAATTACGTACACAATTATATTTACAACATATCTTTACATTGAAAGGGAAGGTATGAAGCTCATGATCGTACAACCAAAGCTCCTGATGCACGGAAAACTTCCACACCTTGATGTAGTGTGCAAACTCTTGGAAACTCTTGAGCCAAGAGGGTCTCTGCAAACTAAAATAAACTCATTTCAAATTAAGAATAGATAGAAACAATTCTTTGGCTGAGTGCAAAAAGGGCCAATGTCAAAAAATGCCAATTTATACTTTGGCAGTTTTTGACTGGCCCTTTTTGCACTCAGCCAGAGAATTTGAAAAACTAAAGTATAAAATCCCATTTCAAGGATGGGGAAGAGACAAGTGATCTGTGGGATCACCTCACCACAACGCTCCCTGACACAGCCCACCTGCATTATAGTACCAAATTCCTCTCTAACACAATTAGAACAAATCTTGAGACTAAAACTTTTTATATTTATTTTACTAGCCATAAATATATGATCTCGTGCCTGCTGCCTAAATGTATATACAGTAATGGGAGTGTTTGTCCATGCAAGATCAGATGCAAGATTTAGATTCTATTAGGCGTATTTTTCCCGCACGGTTTAGAAATTAATGAAGTTTGATGGAACCGTTCACACAGAGCACATATGATAGGCACTCACCCCACGCCTGTACTTCCAAACTGTGGGGTGAAAAAACACGCCAAGCATTCTAGAATTCTTCACATGGCAATGGAGTACTGTATCTCAGACGAACACGGTTTTCCCGTTGCATCTCTGGAAGGGGGGGGCTGGAAGTGTCTGTGATTATTTTTGTCAGATGCTGGTTAACTGAAGCATGAAAAACACACCCGTGTGAATACATGCCTTTTCACATGCGTGAAATTTCCTACACGGGACAAACACGTTCATGTGAAGCAAGGCTTAGACTCTCAGAAAGTTTCCCAGCAACCAGAAACATTGCGGGGATGTGTGATAGTGCCCATTACGTATTAGGAAAAATTACAGGGATGGGGAATTTTTCTGGTTTGAGAGAGTCGTTTTGTTTCCCGGAAATCTTTTATCCATGAAAGAGCTCTGCAACAATTATTCCAGCCAACAGGGAGTTTACTGTATGTAATAGGGCAACTCCACCAAGGAAGTTAAGAGAGCTTCCATATCACTAGTCTCTCCTCCTGAGCCACAAACTGAGATATTATATGTCAAATCTATGTTTCATGGTCTTTTGGTCATTTAATAAGTAACCTGTAAGATATTAAACCAGCTAGGTAAGGCTTGGAGGAAGTAATGTATTAAAGAACCACCATAAAGCACCTCAGTAGGAAGTATTTACCTCAAGTGTAAAGACAGTTAGTAACTAAAAATACATGGACAAGTATAAGTTCAAGTAAGACAGTTAAATGATACTAGTGAAAAGTGTGCCAGACAGCCAGTGTGGACTGATGATGTACCAGTAGGTCTTGGGACCTCAGGTCTCGTTCTCAAACACCTGTGGTCTCAGATTTTTTTCTCAAGACCTTTTGACACCAAATTTATTGATCAATTTTCAGGCCAGTTATAAGAGAGTCATCAACCGGTTAAGTCTGGGTTCATGTACGGAGAGATACTTTCCCTCAGGGCTGTGAAAAGTTGACCATAAGTAAGGATTTGTTAGTTTACAATCAATTTTTTTAAGCAAGGTGACCCAAATTAATCTGGCACTGACCATCATAACTTTGTCTCTAGTGCTCTGGCAGTGTGTGTAATCAGCCATGAAAGGAAAATACAGTAATAAGACCCCATACATAACTGAACATAAGAAAATATGCTGGGTATGTTGAGGTTTCTTAAGTGTAATGAGCATTTTTCATGTTTTAAGTAAATATAAAAATAAAGTACTTGAACAAGATCAATTACCGGTAACTTAATGTAGTACTGTATATATAACCCCAATAAATGAAGAAGAAGAAGCAAAGTTTAAATACAGCACAGGTATTTAATTACTGTATTGATATTTATATACTGTAATGTAATTTATATATGGTGATTGGTTCTAATTGGTGATTATTTCCAAGTTTTTTTTTTTTTTTTAGATAATACTGGCCTTCCATCAACCAGGGATTTCAACCCCTCAAAAAATATGTTCTTGTTTTAACCAAGAGCCTGATTCTTTATTAAAATAGTTATCCTAAAAACTCAGCTTATGCCCAGGCATACACTGCACAGCTGACCCTCTTACAACACATTTTATTTATGTGTTTTGGCCTTACAATGTTTTGGGCAAAGGTCAGTTACCTTGCACTGGTAGGTGATGTCCGTGAGACCAAAACAGAAGCATTGGCTATATGATGGGTGATAGGTAGAGCACTTGCCTACTGAGAATGTTATTCAGTGAATAAATATTAATTCTTGGTAAAGCAATACATATCTTTGTGCATGAATAACAAGAGTTAAAAATTTCACCAAGAAATGAACTCTTCTTAGACAGTGAAACAATAAGTGCAAAGAGAGCCCTAATCTATCTATTATCAAACAGATTATAAAATAGAAAATGAATCTGGAGGCATTATAGTACTCAAGTGAATGCTATTCATTTATATATACTGTACATATGGTAGTCTCTAATAAGGAAGTTGCTTACCTTTACTACTTGCTCCCAGTTGTTGCGAGATCCCATAACACAAATTATTTTACCACGGTAGGAATTGAGTATATCAGTCTGGGAACTGGGGTTTAACAAGCCTTCAGATGTTATTGAGGACTCTGCAGGCAAGTTTATTGCATCTGTTAACATTCCACGGGCAAATCTGATAACAATATTAAGGAAATTCATAACATACAGTAAACATTGTTGACACAGTGTGCAAGAACATTACTTACACTACCTCCTGTATGCATTCCCTTAAAAATTAATTCTGACAACATTCATAATTATCATCATGCAAATATTACAGCCATTTTCCACACTTGTATTCTGTACTCAAACCAGATATATTCTTACAGAATCACTTGAACTGTCCAAGGAGAAGGTGGTGGTCTAAAATGTGCCCCTTGATATCTTGATAAGTACTGCTTGCTGGGCCATGGTGTGAGGTGAGGGTTAGGTTGTCAAATGTCTAAGAATTCTACTATTGATATATTGGCAGCCTTGAGTTTGATATGTGGTGGGAGACATTAACCATACAGTACATCCACGTTATCACCAATGAAGGTGAGGGATTCAGGATCATAGTTCTGTCATAACCACAGAAGGAAATAAACTCACTTCTATTAAATGATTGTTAGATTTGCCCCATGACACTTATCTTAGTGTGCCCACATCAATGACCTTGCATTTTATTCTTGTCTCCATCAATATACAGTGGTCCCTCAGTTAACGAACACAATTCGTTCCAGAAGGTCGTTCGTTAACCGAAAATTTCGTTAACCGAAACCATTGTTTCAGTGGGATTTTGGATAATTGGTTCCAGCTCACCGAAAATTACATACAAAGTAGAAAAACAATGCAGTAAAGTACACTTACTTTGAGGTGTGTATGTAGAAGGCTCCTGGTTGATGATGATGATGGGAATTAGAAGTGGGGGTGGAGGAGAAGGGAGAAGAGAAGGAAGTGGGGGTGGAAGAGAAGTCACCCCATGCTTCATGCCGCTATTTCACCCATAAAATTTTAAGTTCACTAGATGTAATTCAAGATTATTTTCTTTAAATCAACACTGCACTGCACTCTATATTGTCAATATGTTAAATAAATTTCAGAATGACCAATAATTGTACTGTAAAAACGTAAAAATACTCTGTGTTCAAGAGACCCACAAGCAAGATGTTTCCTCCACTGAACAGAGACACAAACTGAGGCCTTGGTGGGTGAGTGAAGTGGCTGATGGGCACACCAAAAACAAGTTCCCTGTACTGTAATTATGTTAAATAAGTGTTAAAATGACTAATAATTTTAATATAAAACTTGGAAAATTATTGAATAGTACAACCTTCTTGATATTTACTCCAATTTACAAATGTAAGCCCTAGAACCGATTTCTGTATTGGCGGACTAATCTTCCAGTTGGTGAGCAAACCAAAGCATGTTGAAACATTTTCGTAAGAATTTCGTTAACCGAATTTTTACTCGTTAACCGAAATGAAGATTCTTATGGAAGGTAATTCGTTAACCGAGGGACCACTGTATAGTCCACCAAACCTCCATCTTGTCCGTTACCCCTTTTCTAAGTATACATATAAATTTCATTCTTTTCATACCATGTACAGTATTCCAACCAAGAAACCTTTCAGTACAAATTTCTATTAGACTCTCTAATTCCACTACTTCCTGGCAGTCCATATTTCCCCAACAATCCACTCCACCTCCCTGTCACAGAATATTTCCTTTAAATATCTCTCACATGAAAATTTCAAAGGTATTTTTCATGCCTTGCCAGAACTTCTTTCTTTACACTTGATTTTTTCCTTCTCTGGCATAAATGTGATCACCATAACCTATTGTTCTTTCTCTACCTTTAAGGTGATCAATAATATTTACACAATATGCACATAACATCATTTAACAATACAGTACTGCCACACCTTTTTTCATGCCCTTTCTCCCCCTGAATATTTTTTACTCCCTTCACTTGTCCCCAGCTCACCTCTCCTTTGTCCCTCAACTGTGTTCTGTACAAAATCAGGATATTCAAGTTCCTTTCACCTGTCATAGTTCAGTTCAGTCTAAGCTTATTTAACCACTGAAATTCTTCTATTTTAGTAATGTACAACCTACATCTTAGTATTTTACTAGTGCTGCTTTCAATGTAATGTGTTCCTTGTAGGTGTAATGTGCTCCTTTCAAATGTACAAGGTGAAGACAAATATATAAATTAAAATTAATCCTAACAATAACCAAGAAACTAAAGTTGTTGGTAAAGGATACTCATCAGGTGATCGGATATCTACCACTAAAACTTTCGCTCGACCACTTCGACTTCTCTTGTGTGCCAAAAGCTCTAGTAAGTCAGCACCACAAGCTCGAGGGCATTTTTCTCTCTTAAGTTCAACCACTGGTACTGCATCCATCACCTGTAAGAAATGTTAGATTCATGAACACTGTTCAATTGTAAAATAAAAAATAAAAAAAAATAAAAAATAATTAGCAAATTAAAATTTTCCCCTCAGAAAAGTTCTCTAAATTTCTATAAAATAAAATTGAACACAAGAATACAATTTCAGAATCATTATCATACAAGGGTTAATTATCTCCAAAATGTAATTAACAGTAGATCTCATACCCAACCAATGTGAAATGGAAGCTCATTCCAGATATCCTATTTTGCATCTACCAGTAAGCCTGTAACCAAGCTGCTCCTATCAATATAAAAACCATTTTGGGATTAGGGTAGGGTTGCCATATCTGAACATTAAAGAAAGAGGACGTTCCCGAAGACATCATGCCCCCCCCCCCCCGCCTGGCACACACTTTGGCGCTATGTAACCTTGATGCAGCCGTAACCGTTTTATGTTCTGGAAAAGTACAACAAATCGTAAGCACTAGCTGTGGCACCAAGCGACAAACCCACAACAAAGACTAAGATCAAACACTGTCACTGTAGGTTAAAGACTGGCCAACAACCGGTCACCGTCATAGTCGTCGACACACGTAAATAATAAAGCGAAAGTGGCTAGATTATGGTTGAAAATTGCTAAAATGCCTTAAATGCAGGACAAGAAAAACAAATGCTACAGTGTAAAAAAAGCCATAAGAAAAAATTGGTATACTTTCAACATTTCATTTATGGCTGTAATAGCACTAAATACAAAAAAAAAAATTATAATAATGCGCGTGGCTGAAGAACAAGGAAAAGAAGTACATGGCACTACAGGTTACCCCAAAAACTGCAAGCAGCTAAGTTGACAACACCGTACAGGCGTTTACGTGACTTATCAGCTGACGAAAACTGAACAAGATCTCTACTGTTTCCACCTCCCCTCTCACAATCTCTCTCTCTCTCTCTCTCGTCATTACAGTTTCATGTTTCTTTCCGTGGAGAAAATGATGGAAGCTGAAATTCCGGACTTTTGAAGAATTTTAAAAATTCCTTCCGGATGAAGATTTCGAGACCTAAATGGAGGACATGTCCGGGAAAATACGGACGTATGGCAACCCTAGATTAGGGAAATAGACTAGTCCCTTATCTGCATGTTTTTGTCATTGTACAGGGTTTGGTGACATATTCCATGTTATGTCATTATATATGTAGTATCATATTAATATCTTGCACAAAAATTTTCATGACAAATTTGTGCAGCTATGGGACTATTGTACCTATAACCAGGAACACATGTTTTCAAATTGAAGTCAATATTAACCCAAAAGTCTTCTGAAGGCCACAAACATTGCTGCAAGATCATGAAAGTAAAGGAACTGCTTGAGAAAACTGATGGGGCACACCTGATTCAATAATTCACAGGGGCACACCTGATTCAATAATTCACAGAAGAGCAAATTATTTAAATGTGTGCAGTATGCTATTTCAATTTGTACACTCTAGTGAAAACAGACTGGCACTCCAAAGACTTTGAATGGATGTGCAAATTATTAAACTAACATGTCTTTTCCTAAGCCAAACTTCAGTAGTAATCATATATTGAAGACAATTATCATCTGCAATTATCACCGAACTGGATGTTTGTTTCCATTTTGGTCGAGGTTGCATGAGGTTATAGATGTGAAAATTCACAATTTATGAGACACAATGACAAAATGCAAGTTTTGTTTACATACTTTATACTGTATCTATTGATAGCATCTATTTTGTGCTCCCTTAAACATTCACTAAGGTTGTGACTTCAGCACTACAACATCAACTGGCTTTCATATGCAGGCAGCAGCAGTGTTTTTTTTAAAGTATTTTTACACCTCCAACACTTCCAATGCTCTCAACTGCAAGGTTACACTGCACAACATCAAGATCAGGTGTCAAAGTTTGCAAAATACGTGGAAAATACCTAAAGGAACCCGATAGACCTCTACATAATGAGCTTCAAGGCCCTAGTTGAAGATACTGCCAGCTGAGGGTGATTCAGTCACCATGACAATGTATGCATTTGGCCTGTCTATGCTCCAATATACATTAAATTATGAGACAACCAAGGTCCAACAAGTACCATACACTGATGACCTCACAGGAGCAGGAAAAGTTGAAGATATAAAAAAGTGGTGGGACCTAGTAGCATCATGTAACCAAGACAATAAGTGTTGATTATATAGTGGATGTAGTGTAGATGGTAGTGTAGTGAATGTAGTACTGATGATAGTGTATTTGATGTAGTGTAGATGACAGTGAAGGACCTAGAGTACATGAGGTGTGAAGTTGCATCAACTGACTTATTTAAATAACAATATAAAGACGACAGCCAAATTGACATCAGAACTGCACTGAGAATTTAGAGCAACTTAATGTGTTTTGTGAGTTCGATAAAAGAAAAATATATCATATGAACCATTGGGAATGTCATCCAAACCTCTGCACCATATACAGTACAGGTATCCCTTGCTTAACGATGAGTTCCTGAAAAACCTGACATTAAGTGAAATTATCGTTAAACTGTACTGTACAATATAATAAATACTGTACAACAAGAGGCTCACCAAATCTTGACAAGCCTCAGTAAGGTGAGGAGATGAATTAAGTTTGCTGGGATCTGGTCTGGGTCGTTCATGTTGTCGAAATGTCACAGATGGGGGAGTAGAGCAGAACACTTGAACTGATTCACGGACAACTCGTTCCATATCAATGTCTGTGGATACAACAGAACTCGGTAAATTAGAAAAGAATCTATAACCACAGGTAACCACAGATACAATTACTGTATCAAGAAAGAATATTTCAATTGAAGAGATCTTACAACTCGTGCAAGATACTGTTTTATTTTCTTCTGTTACATCAAGACAGAAGAAAAAAATTCTTTGAGCAATATTTTTCTAATCTGAGGAGGAGAGACAATTTTTCACACTACAGGTTAACCTCTCTTATCTGGCAACCTTAGGAACACGGCTGTGCTGCATCATAAACCTACACTACACTTAGTTTAATGCCCTGTAGTGTCATGGGTTTCTTTATATGCAAATTTGACACACATCAAAGATAATAAAATTCATAAATAAACAGAGAAATCTTGTTATACATTGTACAGATATACTGTACGTCATTTCACGCATATTGTATGTCGCTAAGAAATATAGGAAGAAATTTTCATTATATGTGTTTCACATACACATCGTCTGCATCAACCACTGTTCTATACCAAGTCTGTGTGTATCTTATTATTAGGCATAAATAGTGTTAAAACATCTAATATAATGCAAAAATAACAATAATAAGTAATAAAAATTCCCAGGTAAATGTAATTACTGTAAATGGAAAAGTGAATGCTTGATCCCCATTGCACAGCTGTTCATCAACTGACCACCACCAACATGCACCAGCTAGCCAGCATATCCATCGTTTTTCTTTTCTTTTTTTAGGGAGAACAGCCCACCCGGGCACAGGTCATCAACCCACAATGGGGCCGGGGGGAATAAGAGTAAAAAGAAATTAAAAATAGAAGAGAAAGGCTATATTAATCTACACCATGAAGATGCTGGAAAACCAGCTCTTTGAAGTGGGACAGATTATTATCATTCAATGATATTAAAAAAAAAGAAGCATATAATAACCAAAGGATACATAAAGGAATACATTAATATAACTTGTGGTAATGAATGATTTATTGAGAAGCGTGTATGTGTCATATTATTTCTCATGACCAATAGTAAACTGTTGTTCCTTAACTGCTCGTCTTGTTTAATAAATTCTAATTACCAGTACACTTTTAAAATACTGCAACACTCTTTTACTGTTTCTTGATTAAAGGTGTCTATATGCTATGAATTGGTGGTAAAATAATTATCAAATACCTATAAACACACAATACCAGCAGTTGGATGAGAGAACACGGCAGATGTTCTCTAGGTACTCTGGTTTCCTCCTGTACTAACACTGGACAATTCAGATCATGAAAAAAACAGAACAACTAGTAAGCTGACTACTGGTTGAAATGATAAACTGTACAGTATATACAACTCTTTCAGCTGCAGCCTAAATAGATGAATCACTATTGAACTTGAGTCGTTTATTTGAAGTGATGTTTTATTTTACAATTATAATTTTGTTTTATGGGATGATTATAGTAATTTGAATGTCAAGAAGTAATGGTAGAACTACTTGTACGTTCTGTTAATATGAGGTTTGCAGGAAAAATAATTTTTGTAACAATGCCGTTAATTGGGAGTATTTGGTCACTGGAATGCCAGATAAGAGAATGATCTGGCCTTCGCTTTCTTCATTAGATTTTAAATTTATTCCTTCGTTTTGCATTGAGTCTTCATCACAATTCAGTATCCTCTCTCTCATACTAAAGCTCCCAATACAGTTATTTAGTTCTTCCCAGTCTATAAGGTTCTCAACAATAATAGTATATATATATATTTTCTCTGAGTTCTATTCAACTCTACAAATTCTACATGTACTGTATACAGAACTTACCTGGCATATCAGAAAAAAGAAGAATACATTCATTGAAGCCAAATTGAAGAAGTCTATCTTTCAACTGTCGTAAAAGTGCCACTCCTATACATAATGGCAGAGATGCTTCGCCTAAAAGCAGGGTATCCCATAACAGGAAGATCTTTTGGAGTGGAAACACATCTGTACAGGAACAACACTGGACTGTATCATTGTTGTTACTTATATTTTATCTGAAAGTAATTTGTAAACAATAATATGAATGTTATTCTTTCTGCTTGGAACAAATAGGGGGTTATTTTTTTGTTGAAGCATTCTAAAGCTATGCATGGTTTCACAAACTAAAGACTGATGCTTATGTCATGAATGTTCAAGTGATTATGCGTATAATAGTAGAGCAACATAACAGCGTGGGTTCACTTGGTTCACTAAAGTTCGGAAAAAAAAATTACTTGAATACAAAATTTGTTATTCATTTTCTTGAAATGATACATACGTGTGTACATTGTGAGAAACCAAGGAATGGCATACAGCTCAGGTATGAAGCCAATGTTATCCAGATGGTTAAACAGTTGTGGGTCATGGAAGGCAATCATGTGGGAAAACTTTGCCAAGTATTCTTGTATCACAGCACTGTTGTCCCTCAAGAAGAACTTGTGTAGGTATTTGTCGATAAACTGAGACAAACAAGCATATGCCAAGGCTGATAAAATGAGAAACAAGACTGTTAGTAAACTTTCACAGTAAAAAGGTACCTGATTAATTTACTAATTTCAAGCATTACATCATGGTATGGCACAGAATTTATTCTTTATATTGTAGAAATTTTACATTTGAAAATGGATATAAGGGTATACCTCATTATCCCATTACTCAATTAAGAAAGTTTTAACCTTCATTGTTGAAGTTGAGATAAAGGAAAGGTGCACAGAGGGAGTCCAGTCCTTGCCAATACACTAAATGAGCATGTGAGACGACCCAGGCTTTCAGAACACGTGTAAATTTGGCATGACCTTGTGGTGATGACAGTAACTCATCATACTGGTGGCATCTGGGAATATCAACCTCAATCTGTTGAAAGACATAACAGTAAGTTTATATATCATCCAGTCTTTTAGTACAGTATAGTGTAGTTCTTATAATATGAGAAACAAATAAATGCACACAAAATTCTCATTATTTGATGGGTTGTCTGTATAGTATTTACATGCCAGTATTTTACAACACTAATCAATTTATATCTATCTCAACACATACAGTACATATACCTATTAGTATATATATATATATATATATATATATATATATATATATATATATATATATATATATATATATATATATATATATATATATATATATATATATATATATATATATATATATATATATATATGTACATATATATCAACTCATGCACTGTACTTGTCTGTCTGTTGGGGTTGGCGTTTCCTTGTCAATCTGTTGGTAAGTCTGTGCCACAGGACCATCGACCCCAAGAAGTGATGCCCAAACCAGTGCTCGGTAAAATGGAGGGGTGTCTTTTCTAGCTTCACGCAGGATACTCTCTGCCTTGAATGGGTATGACTGAGACAGAGAAACAAATTAAAATATTGTACAATGCAAACTTTTAAAATGTTTATTGAATATTTTGTAACCAAAGTATTTCATGGTCCGTTACATAAACTGCACTGCACATATAAATCTAAACACTACTCATATACATGTGACCAGGTTTTGTCATGAAAAAAAACATCCAATAATTGGTCAATTTATTGGAAAGAAATACTGCTTTATAATTATTCATATATTTGTTTGTACTGCACAACTGATGTGATGTGACAGCTGTAATACAGTAAATTGTGGCAAAACTGTCATACTGGATAACTTCAGTGGTACCCACAACTAAACCCTTTTTTATTTCTTTATAGATTTACAGAATTTTATGTTTACACAACACCCGTAGAGACACAGCAACCTGACAAAAATATTGGGGCCAATTTTAAGAAAAATATTACATACAGAAACCTTTTTAACTATTAGATAAGAGAGGGAAGGCTGTGGCTAGTTTAATCCACCATTGTACTTGATGAGTAAGTCTTTCATGGGTCCAATGTTAGTGCAAGAGGAAACTGGAGTGCCTGGAGATGACCTATGATGTTTGACAAGTGCCTGGAGATGACCTATGATGTTTGACAGAGTCCCAATGGATAAACGAACTTTTGCAACTGACTTAGGAATCAATCTCAGGATGCAGTGGTGAGGAAAAACCAAAACACTACAAGTCACCAATCAAACACAGTACAGTATCTGCAGGACACTTGCTGCCAGTGTGAATACAAGCAGTGAACTAATTGTATCAGTAAAACCCTGTACAGTATTTTATTATGGAGCGAGCACATGGTGATGTGATTGTTGGGATTTGCTGTTTCTTCAACCTCAAATGACAAACGTCCGCGTCCAATTTGAAAGGCTAATCGTACCTTTGGTTATACTGTACTTTGAAAGGCTAATCGTACCTTTGGTTATACTGTACTTTGAAAGGCTAATCGTACCTTTGGTTATACTGTACTTTGAAAGGCTAATCGTACCTTTGGTTATACTGTACTTTGAAAGGCTAATCGTACCTTTGGTTATACTGTACTTTGAAAGGCTAATCGTACCTTTGGTTATACTGTACTTTGAAAGGCTAATCGTACCTTTGGTTATACAAGTACAGGTTGAAACTCTGTGGTCTGGCACCCTTGGGACCTGATTGGTGCCAAACAAAAGAAATTGTAGGACCAAAGAGTTACAATCTGTACTATAGTTTGAAGAATGTAACAAGCAGCCTTTTGTCACTAGATATGAGGAAGCTACTACAGCATGAATCACCTATGGAGTCCTTAATCATAGAATAAAGTTTTCTACTCATTACTTTTTTATCAAAGAAATTAAAAAGTCAGCTGTCAATATTCTAAATCAAATATACTAAACACTAATAAGGTAAAATAAAATAAAAAGAATAATGATGCAAACTTTCCTGACCTGGAGTAATCTTTCAAATATGAGCAGACGGTGAAACTGGTACTCCACATCTCGTTCTCGTATTACTAGTGGAAGTTGACTTGTTTCCAGTTCATCTGTACCACATTCCCTGAGAAAATGCATTTTTAAAACATTATAAAGTATACACATACTTTATTACATGAAGATAATAAGAGAAATAAATGCAGTGCTTATTTTACAGGATATCAATGTACAGTGTTATGGTACTATAGTACAGTGGTCCCTCGTTTAACGAACACAATTCGTTCCAGAAGGTTGTTCATTAACTGAAAATTTCGTTAACCGAAACCATTGTTTCAATGGGATTTTGGGTAATTGGTTCCAGCTCACCGAAAATTACATACAAACTAAAAATAAATGCAGTAAAGTACACTTACTTTGAGGTGTGCATGTAGAAGGCCCCTGGTTGATAATGATGATGATGGGAATTAGAAGTGGGGGTGGAGGAGAAGGGAGAAGAGAAGGAAGTGGGGGTAGAAGAGAAGTCACCCCATGCTTCATGCCGCTATTTCACCCATAAAATTTTAAGTTCACTAGGTGTAATTCAAGATTATTTTCTTTAAATCAACACTGCACTGCACTATATATTGTCAACATGTAAAATAAATTTCAGAATGACCAATAATTGTACAGTGACCCCTCCATTAACGAACTCAATCCGTTCCAGAAGGTCGTTCGTTAACCGAAAAGTTCGTTAACTGAAACCATTGTTTCAATGGGTTTTTGGGTAATTGGTTCCAGCTCACCGAAAATTTCCTAAATTCAACAAAAATGGTAGTAAAGTTCACTTACTTTGAGGTGTGTATGTAGAAGGCTCCTGGACGATGATGATGATGATGGGATTTAGAATGGGGGTGGAGGAGAAGGAAGAGAAGGCATTGGGGTGGAAGAGAAGTCACCCCATGGCGCCATTTCACCCATAAAATTTTAGCTCTCTTGGTGTAATTCAAGATTATTTTCTTTAAATCAACACTGCACTGCATTATATATAGTCAATAAGTAAAATATATTTCAAAATGACCAATAATTTGCTTGGAAACACAGAAAAAAAGCGTTTAGTTGAAGAGAGTCTCAAGCAAGATGTTACCTCCAGTGAAAACGGAGAGAGACTAACTCCTGTTTGCTGTGTTTAGAGGCTGGATGCCGCCTATTAAACTAGTCACTTTACCTTCAATTATGTTCAATAATTGTTAAAATGACTAAAAAATTGAATATTAAACTTTTAAAATTATTGAATAGTATAAACTTCTTGATATTTACTAAAATAGTAAGGAATTTAAGCCCTAGAACCGATTAATGTATTGGCGGACTGATACTAAAGCTGGTTGCCCGGTCAGTGCAAGCGAAAACATGTTGAGGTCGGTTTGTAAGAACTTCGTTAACAGAATTTTTTTTCGTTAACCGAATTGAAGATCCTTATGAAAGGCAGTTCGTTAATCGAAATTACGTTAACCGAGGTGTTCGTTAAACGAGGGGTCACTGTACAGTAAAAACGTAAAAATAGTTTATGTTCAAGAGAGCCACAAGCAAGATGTTACCTCCACTAACCAGAGATACAAACTAACGCCTTGGTGGGTGAGTCAAGTGGCTGATTGGCGCACCAAAAACAAGTTCCCTGTACTGCAATTATGTTAGATAAGTGTTAAAATGACTAAAAAATTTAATATAAAACTTGGAAAATTATTGAATAGTACAACCTTCTTGATATTTACTCAAATGGGAACGAATTTAAGCCCTAGAACCGATTACTGTATTGGCGGACTAATATTCCAGCTGGTGAGCAAGCAAAAACATGTTGACATGATTTTCTAAGAATTTCATTAACCGAATTTTTGTTCGTTAACCGAATTGAAGATTCTTATGGAAGGTAATTCGTCAACCGAAATCTCGTTAACCGAGGCGTTCGTTAACCGAGGGATCACTGTATATGCAAAAAACCAAGTACAGGGTATTTATTGTTTGCAAGAGGTTTTTAATCATTAACATCTGGATGAAAATACCAAGCATAGGTTAGGTCTAGTTAAAAAACAAAAACATCCTGCCGCCTTTGACAGTTCAGAAAAATCTTCTTTCTCAAATATAAGGAAAATAGTTAATCAACTTGTAGCATACTGACTTGCCATGAAGATCACTATACTGTATGACAGTCTGTATTTTTACTCAATAATGAACTGCAGTCATCTCATTACAGTAATTCATCATCATCACTGTTTTCCATGATTATCTGAAGGTGGCTCTCCAAGCTGTATGGTTTCTTGAAGTTTCTCTCATTAAGTCCTGATCTCAGAAGTCATTTTTCACAACCTCTCCCCATGTCATTTTGGCCAACCCTGGCTCTCCTCCCTTCTACATCAAATTTCACTCCACATGCCCAAACCATATCTGCCTATCTAGATGAAACCTCACCAACGCTCTCAATATTCAGCCACAATCATAACTCTGAACACAGTTTCTTATCTCCCAACATCATATTACACATCCATCTTTAACTTGCCATGCTTCACTGCTATAAAACAACTCACTTCTTATGGCAACTATATACATTTCTTTTCTTTCACATGAAAAGAAAAACCCTCTCACCATCAATAAAGGCAATGGTTCCCTAAACTTCCTCCAGCCACTTTTGACTCTTGCAACTGAGCTAGCTTCAGCACTGATAAGTCATCCAGGTAGTAGAACTCATTCAAACAGTCCAAGGGATTTCCAATGTTGAGCAACATCTTACAGTCTGCCATTTACTCTACTGCATCTCTTGTGTACCCAACTTCCACACTCGCTGCACATTACTGAAATACTGCATTGTCCAACCCCTTCTTACAGACAACACGTGGCCATTTTCCACCACAGTCCTTCACCCAAGCCACTAATCATTACTTTTGTCTTTGCCACATTTAGTCTCAACCCTTTTGGCTTTATTCCATTCTTCCACTTCTTAAATTTCACTCCTATCTCTTCTACACAATCTGCCATCAACACTAGTCATCAATATACAATAACAGCCAGGGCAGACCAGTGATACACTTTGATAAACAGAAGGTGACTCAGAACAGATCTTTGATGGTCTCCTACTTTTCCTGAAATTCCTTAGCAATGTTTGCACAGTTTCAACAACAGCTGTATAAAGCTTGCCACATACAGTACCACTAAAGTATCATGTTAACTAACCCAACAAGTTTTACATCAATCAATATCTTTAGCCTGAAACTGAGGCCACATACTGTACTTTTTTACCAGACATATTTCCTGCACCATCCTAACCCTAACCAAGCAGCTTTGAGAGGTGTAAGACATAACCACCGTCAACCTTGTCACACTCAGCGAACTCCATTAAATATTCCATAAAGTTTACCTCATCATACATTTGTCTGTAACAATATTTAGGAAGGCTGCATGTTTTTCTCCTGAGACTAGTTATTCATGAATATATTTTGTACACTTACTGATTAAGGTCATTCAGAGACCTTTAATACTTGCATGCATCATTGTTAGGACCATGATGAAATGATCAGCAAAAAGATGAACAGACCCATTTCAGGGCCACAAGAGTATATTTGCATGTGACTGCATGGGGGGGGAAGCTCATAACCCCTGGGTCTGAGCCTACCTACCTGGCATGAATCCACACTGCATTTCATTAGCATCCACTCTCTCTTTTATCAATTTCTAAATCATTCTTTCCACAGCTTTCATAACTTAGAATGAGAAGAATTAAGCATGCTTACCCTTGAGTAATGAGAGGATAATACTTCTCAGGAGGAATGTGAGCTAGTCTGTTACGCAGATTATGTAGTGGCAAGATGATTGTGGTCGTTTCCAGCAGCTGACGACGGTGGATGCCTCCCCCAAACACCTCTCCCTCTACCACCATCACACTGAAACATCATTCCATTCACTGTTATAGGAGTCCTGATTGAATAATATAGGAGATAATGTCAAATATTAATTAGCATTACTGATCTCCTTTACTTTTCCCACACTTAAATAATATTCAAACTAAGGTATTAACTACGCCGTTACGCTTACTTCTGAGGTACAGAATAACATTGTTTTAAACCTCATCCCAAACAACAATTAAAGCAAACTATGAATGTCTTCAACATCAATCATAAACAGTAAAATGCCAAAAATTTCCTTATCCTCGAGACTGACATGGTGACGAAGTTAATAATCTTCTCAAGTAATGGTCAGGTTAAAGCATGCTTTAAATGGACCCTGGGACCATGACACTGTAAGAGCCCGTGTACATCATATCCACAAGTATGAAGGTAGATATGGCCACAGACACAGTAATAAAAATACACATAAGGTACAAAGAGCTGTTTTGTATTATTTTCATCATCATTTTATTACAGTACAGTACTTCCAGCTACCTTCCTCCTCAGACCAAGACTAATTACTCGTATATAATGTAATCCAAAACAATGTCATCAACAATTAGCTCCCTAGAAGTGTTCTCCAATTTTCTGACATTACAAATCCTACAAAGGGAATACAGGGTATTAAGTTCAGTACCCAGTCCTGAGCTCTGAACATTGGTCAGGCTGAACCTATGTACAGGTACTGTACTGTACTGAACTGTACTGTACCGTACTGTGCTGTACCTTAAAATGTGACTAATAAAAATTGAGTTATAATAAAGTAAGAGTGAAACAAATAATCTAAAAACTTGTGAAACCTTTAATGTGCTGGAAATTATACATACTGTATACAGCATACAGGGGGTCCTCATTACATGTTAGGGATGTGTTACCGAGAAAAGCGACTTATAATGAAATGTTTTATAATGGGTAATTTTTCTCGATAAGAATCAATGTAATTAGGGGTATAAGTGTCCCAACATATACAGTAATACCCCATGAAAGCTCTGGACTTTCAGCATATCAGTTTACAAGGGGTAATTATAATACACTATTGTATAGTACATGATGTAGAGATACATTCCTGACAACATTATTTCTTGCCTTTGAGTCATACATGATGGCTCAATTTTACCACTTGTACATTTAGACAACTGATCTGTGAATATACTAGGGCATATGGAGATGCATTATACACTACAATACTGTTTATTAAGTTCTGGTAAATACACAACAATATTATTGACTAAGTGCTGAAGACAAATCCTGTGGTAAGCACCAACCCTCTTGAGCAGTGACAACAAGGGTGCTTGAGAGATAGTGAGTGCTGGCAACATTGTTAGGGAGAGTGGGAATGATCAGCTGTTACCACTCTGTCAATAAGAGACTGGGAGTATAATACAACACAATAACTCCTCTAAGGTTGAGTGTGGGATTTTGGGGGGTAAATTTTTTTTTTATTATATGATAATGATTTATTAACCCAGCACTAAATGAACCTAAATAACATAGGAATTATGGTGAAATTGCACACTGTCGTTATGAAGGGATCACGAGCTGACGAGTATATGAGTGTTGTCCTCTCAGTCCAGCCAGCACTCTCTCCCTCCTCCTCCACCACCTCCTATCCCCAGCTACACACCCAGAATTAGATATGTAAATTTTTTCACTCAATTTCTTTACATGCAAACCTTCCATTGTATAAGAACTGAATAAGGGTTTCTAAACTTTAATTTTTTGGTGTTGGAACACATGTGTGATTTAAATGAGCGCGGTGAGGTATACAGTAGTCCAGCGAGTCATGGTGTGTTGCCAAACTGCCTGCTATTCTCAGGTACTCTCCATCTCTCACACAGAATATACCCCTACTCTCTCAACCTTTTTTTTTATATCTACAGTATATAGTATTCATTCATAAGGCACACTAGCACATTGAGATGACTTTTCTGCAAATTCTGTGGTTACTTACATATAACCAAATGGTATATAGCGTAGTCGAGTCAGAGGTGACTGATGTATTTTGGTGTTGTAGAATCTAAACTTAACATTTGTGAGGCACTTTTATTACTTATTATTGTTATTTTTGCATTATATTAGATGTTTTAACACTATTTATGCTTAATAATAAGATACACACAGACTTGGTATAAAACAGTGGATGATGCAGACGATGTGTATGTGAAACACATATAATGAAAATTTCTTCCTATATTTGTTAGCGACATACAATATGCGTGAAATGAAGTACAGTATATCTGTACAATGTATAACAAGAGCCCCCTGTACAGTGATCCCTCGGTTAACGAAATTTCGGTTAACGAATTACCTTCCAAAAGATTCTTCACTTCGGTTAACGAGCAAACCCTCGGTTAACGAGCAAACCCTCGGTTAACGAATTCCTTACGAATTTTTCCTAACATGTTTTTGCCTGCATTTGGCTGCCCACCAGCTGTAGTATTAGTCCGCCAATACAGTAATCGGTTCTAGGGCTTAAATTCCTTACCATTTTAGTAAATATCAAGAAGGTTGTACTATTCAGTAATTTTAAAAGTTTTATATTAAATTTTTTAGTAATTTTAACAATTATTGAACATAATTGAAGTACAGGAAACTATTTTTTTTTTTTTGCGCGCGAAACAGCCACTAAACACACCAAGCTTGGCGTCAGTTTGTTTACAGGTTCAGAGGAAGGAACATCTTGTTTGAGACTCTTCAACATAAACACTTTTTTCTGTGTTTCCAGTCAAATTATTGGTCATTATGAAATATATTTTACATATTGATAATATATAATGCAGTGCAGTGTTAATTTAAAGAAAATAATCTTGAATTACACCAAGTGAACTAAAATGTTATGGGTGAAATGGCAGCATGGGGTGACTTCTCATCCACCCCAATGCCTTCTCTTCTCCCTTCTCCTCCACCCCCATTCTAATTCCCATCATCATCATCATCAACCAGGGGCCTTCTACATGCACACCTCAAAGTAAGTGTACTTTACTGCATTTATTTTTAGTTTGTATATAATTTTCGGTGAGCTGGAACCAATTACCCCAAAACCCATTGAAACAATGGTTTCGGTTAACGAATTTTTCGGTTAACGAGCAACCTTCTGGAACGAATTGTGGTCGTTAACCGAGGGACCACTGTATACTGTACAGTATGTATGTACCCTGTATAAATAAATGTGAACAATAACCCTGAGCATTACCTTGGTAGGGTAAGTATGGCTGGTTTGATTCTGACAAGTTTTTGTTTCTTCAGTTCTTGTTCTACGTTGCCACCAGCCAGCTGCCACAGATGATACACCTCCCTCATAGGACGTTCACACAGTTGGTCTCTCCTTCCATTTCTGTCAATAAAATATAGGTATTGAATAAAGTACATAATACAGTGAGCCCTTGATTCCTACACATGTTGTTGGAGTGTGCTGTAAATATCAAACCTATGGAAATCAAAGTCAAAAGTCCAGTCAATATAACAATAACAAACCTACCTACTTCATAATAATTAAAGATAATACAGAGTTTTTGCCCTACTTACTCTATGTGTGTGTGTGTGTGTGTGTGTGTGTGTGTGTGTGTGTGTGTGTGTGTGTGCAATTTTTTCAATAAGAATTATAAATTGACCAGGAAACTATGTTGTGGTACTGTACTGTACTGTTCAGTATGTTGTGATACTGGGTACTGTGCTGTACTGTACAGTATGTTGTGATACTGGGTACTGTGCTGCACTGTACAGTATGTTGTGATACTGGGTACTGTGCTGTACTGTGCAATATGTTGTGATACTGGGTATTGTACTGTACAGTATGTTGTGATACTGGGTACTGTGCTGTACTGTACAGTATGTTGTGATACTGGGTATTGTACTGTACTGTGCAGTATGTTGTGATACTGGGTACTGTGCTGTACTGTGCAATATGTTGTGATACTGGGTATTGTACTGTACTGTACAGTATGTTGTGATACTGGGTACTGTACTGTACTGTTCAGTATGTTGTGATACTGGGTACTGTACTGTACTGTTCAGTATGTTGTGATACTGGGTACTGTGCTGTACTGTACAGTATGTTGTGATACTGGGTACTGTGCTGCACTGTACAGTATGTTGTGATACTGGGTACAGTGCTGTACTGTACAGTATGTTGTGATACTGGGTACTGTGCTGTACTGTACAGTATGTTGTGATACTGGGTACTGTGCTGTACTGTGCAATATGTTGTGATACTGGGTATTGTACTGTACTGTACAGTATGTTGTGATACTGGGTACTGTGCTGTACTGTACAGTATGTTGTGATACTGGGTACAGTGCTGTACTGTACAGTATGTTGTGATACTGGGTATACTGGGTACTGTGCTGCACTGTACAGTATGTTGTGATACTGGGTACTGTGCTGTACTGTACAGTATGTTGTGATACTGGGTACTGTGCTGCACTGTACAGTATGTTGTGATACTGGGTACAGTGCTGTACTGTACAGTATGTTGATACTGGGTACTGTGCTGTACTGTGCAGTATGTTGTGATACTGGGTACTGTGCTGTACTGTGCAATATGTTGTGATACTGGGTATTGTACTGTACTGTACAGTATGTTGTGATACTGGGTACTGTGCTGTACTGTACAGTATGTTGTGATACTGGGTATTGTACTGTACTGTACAGTATGTTGTGATACTGGGTATTGTACTGTACTGTACAGTATGTTGTGATACTGGGTACTGTGCTGTACTGTTTGTTTAGGTAATTAGTGTTAAAACATTTTACTTGCATACCCAGGTTGCATTTCCACTTATATTTTCCTTTATATCCTGTGATACCGCTGTGATGGCCTCTGTTTTTACATATCAAATCTTAAATGAAGAGATTAAATACTAGGTGGCTCCAGTATATGTGCTTAATACGCTATCAGTCTCCTTAGCCTCAAAGGGGACATGTAATGATGACCAGGCTTGTTCATAATGATGTGGTGAGTGTTGTTTATTGTGGTGTAGGTATAGTATTAGTGTTAAATTTTTTTTTTTTTTTTTTGGTGATACATGTGGTTGTTGGACTGGCTGGGGATGTATACCATTAAACCCCATATTATAATTATTCTGATTTATGATATTTCGACCTGTGACGGTTTTTAGGACTGTAACCCCATCATAAAAAGAGAGAAATCTGTACATACTCCTTTTTATAATGAACTGTATTTCAAACATTACCTCAGTCTTGGTTTCTCATCTGTTTGCGTCTGCTGAGCCGAATCATTATCAGGTACAAGCGGATAGTCAGTAAGGTGATCCCCTTCACTTTCTAACAATCCCAGCTTGGCCTAAAAGTAAAATATTCTTATAAATATTACATTATTTAACATCAAAACCATTGTACCGCTCATATATGGTAAAGGAACAATAACTTTTAACATCTACAAGGAATAAGTAATATGGTTTTAATACCTGTACTCATATGTACTTAACAAACAGTGAATAGATTTGTTTGTTACTCTGAGATGAATAATTAGTCTAATAAAGAAATTGGTAGCAGCACAGAACCCTGAGGAACGCTGGCATTAATAGTGACAGACAAAAGACCATCCAGAACTACAAGCACTTCTATGGTCAGATATAAAAGAAGAATTTATAGGGACTAAAAAGGAAAGGCCAAGAAAGGATAATTTTCCAAGTAAGAATTGGTGCCAAACTCTGTTAAATGCTTTAGAGTTGTCAAGGGCTTCTGTATGGTTTTCACCATTACAGCTTAATGATTGGGATACTGAACACGTAAGGAATTATAAAATATCAGCAGTTGAGCATCCAGTACAGTGGCCATAATGGTGAGTACTGTATCATTGTCAAGGTGTTTAATAATATAAATACTGGTTAACATCTAAAAAAATCTTGGCTATTGAAGTGCGGAAAAATTGGTCTAATTTCAAGTATTGGTTTATGTGTTAGCAGCTTTCCATGAGGGAGGTAAGGCTGCAGTACAGAAAGAGTCTGGAGAGTTTGGACAGAAGAGGAGAAAGTTCAATACACGAGCACTTTTGAGAACAAGTAAAGGTATCTCATCTGGGCCCTGGAGCCTTCTTAGTTTTCAAAGAATTCATAAATTTTATTTCATTCTGATGGTCAAAATTTATGTCAACACCAAATACAAATAAGGTATACTTGGAGAAGAGATGAAATAGAATATGAATAAACGTCTTTTAATCTGACAGTTAATGATAGGATCAGAAGACACAGAGAGGATATAAAAATAACAAGCAATACCTGGTGTTTCCTGGATTTACCATGAAAGGGAAATGTATTTACAAGATGAAATAAATAGGGACAAGAGAAATGAAGGTTGATTGGGAAGAGCCGAGGGGGGGAATAGTGATGAAGCAAAAGTGGATACCTGTAGTGAGTCCCAGAGACTTGATGGCCCTGCATAAACAGTATTAATAAGGTGGAATCACTAAAACATCTTTACCTCACCAATTGTAAAGTGAGATACCCATTTAAGGCAGGCTGGGTGGACTAAGGAATGATATGGGATTGAACTAGTGACATCTAAGAACAGGAGGTGAGTGTTGTATCAAACTCAGCTTTTGTAACCCATTAAGTAAGAGTACTGTATAGTAGACAGATAATGGAGGATTTAGATATGGCAGTAGAGCAAAAAGAATACAGCGGTGATGTAGAAAGAAGGTGAAGTATAACAATAAGCATGTTAATGACCGACACAATAGAGTATAAAGCTACAGTCACAAGGGATATGTTCCTTGGCAAGACTGTAACTAAGGTATCCATGATTGGGGAGGTGGGGACCCATTATAACATGGTGGAACAGGGGGTAATATCCTGGGCCATCTAAACATTACCCCAAGAAGACCTACAACTGAAGTACTGTACCAAGTCATGTAGAGTATACGGACACCATAATGTTGTATAGGATATACTGTAGAACCAACATGTAAAGCACAGCAAGAGATATCACTGTACAAAATCCCATATAATTGCCTGGTAAGAACCTAACAATAAATGTCAATCTATGTAATAATGAGCAAGAAATTGTCAGATAAATCAACTTACAGGAGAGATAATTATGACGCCTGTAGGCTGAGCAGCGAGTGTTTCCATAGGTGATGCAATTTACAATAATAATGGCAATAATAATATTATTAATAAAAAAATAACACTAATAAACTTTACTAATAAAAATTAAAACAATAATACAGTAATAATATAATGAAAATAATAATAGTGAATATAATACAGTAATAATAATAATACAGTATACCACAATTCACACAACAAAAAAGGAAGTGTGTTGTGCTGGGCATTCCTGTGCTTTGATTAGCTGAGCTAATGTATATAAACATTCTTTGACCATCGCAATGTGTAATGCTAGAGAGTCCATATCTAATAATAATTCTATTCTTATTTATATACATAGTACTTAACTGTAAAGTACTGTACTCTAGACTGATAAATTTAGCATTTATATATTCATTTCAGAGCACTGTACCTGTATAATACTGTATTTACAATAAAGTACTTTACTGTTACTCTACTTTTGGCTTTCTATGTAAAATTATTGTACAAAATTGAAAGTACCAGTAGAGTATACACATATTATAGTCATTGTTTAGAGGTTGTGGGTTCAGGAGAGAAACACAATACAGTACAGCACTCTACTTACCTTATACTGTGAAAAATCTATAAGACAGAGTGAAGGATCAATAACTGGAAAGTGGGGAGGAACAGGTATGAGAGAGGCTGACATGACAAATGGTTGGAAAAGCGAGTGGGAGAGGAGGTTACGAGGCACCGGTCTGTCCTCCGGATCCACTGTCAGACACAACTGCAGAAATCCTCTCATGTCCTCTGGCAGCCTCTGTGTTAAAAAGATGATGTAACAAAGAGTATGTCAAATATCTGTATAAATATAATATCTCTCCAAGCACATCTCAATAATTCAAAACAACTAGTCAAACCTTTGTACAGTACATTCAGAGGCCACCACAGTAAGTATACTTACGTTAATCTTTTCTACAGCGTCATGAGTCTGTGCCAAATGAAGGAGTGGATCACTTGCTAGAGAGAGTCTTAAAACCTCTGAAACTAATCGTTCAACTTTTTCGTGCCTGAAATCATAAGAAAACATTGACATTCCTTACAGGTTCTAGTAAAGCCTGGTATACCATAGCTTATACTGTAGTGATTTAGGGAAATTAAAATATTTCCAGCTAGCATGAATAATATTATTGTGTCTAACCATTTAATTACATCCAGAATAACACATAAACACAAAAAGTTACTTTGAAAAACCACCCCATACACTTGTAATGCCTCCCATAGTACTTTTATCTTCACCCTATCATATGTCCTTTTCTAAATCTACTATAAATTATTAAAACCATCTGTTAGTAATAAAAAAATAAAATAAAAAATATCAAAACCAAGGAAAAAAGGCATAGATAATTTTTGGGGGGTTTAAACAATGGTTTAAACCACTGGTTTAAATGAGCCAACCCTGTGCATCATACGGGTAGTTAGATTTTGTATTATAATAACAATTGTTACATTGTTGTCATTAGTATTTTGTGTCTATGTGTGTGTTGATACAGTATTTTGGGTGTCTGTCAGTGTACTGTATACCAGTGCCTTACTGTGGAAGGTGTGAGCCTGTGTTAATTAGGCACATTATGTACTCTAATTCAATGGACCGGGGACTGCCAAGACTGAAAACACACTACTTTCTCTCTTTCTTTGTCTTCATACTTGTGTGCACGTATGTGTGTTATATATCTATACAGTATACGTCTCAAAACTACACATATTTATTCTTTCATGCAGATATTTATACCTTTACAGTACAGTACAGTACAGGTATTCCTAAATTGTATCCCTCCCACTATGACTATAGTGTATATATCAATCTTACAATTACAAGAGAAATATTGTAATCATCGGCCACAACTTGCCTGCCAAACACCGAGCATCCCATAATAATCTCAGTCAGAATTATGCCAAGGGACCAAACATCCCAAGCTGGATTACCAGACACAGTAGCACCACCAGCACCTCCTTCTTGACTTCCTCCCTGGAGTAGGATTTCTGGTGCAGTGTACTGGATACTCCTAGGGATAGAGAAATTATATAAATAACCATTAATACAGTATTGCACAATATAGATCTTCATGTCTGGGACCCTTGAGACCAAGACCAGACAGGTCTTGAGGATTATCTGGCTTCCTGGGTCGGGTTCCAGGTCATCTATGTTACCCTCGACTTACAGTAAAATACAGTGGTCCCTCGGTTAACGAATGGTTCGGTTAACAAAATTTCGGTTAACAAATTACCTTCCTTAAGAACCTTCAATTCAGTTAACGAACAAAAATTTGATTAACGAAATCCTTACTAACATCACTTTTTGTTGTGAGCATCAGCTGATGGGCTAGTCTGCCAATTCAGTAATTAAGTAATCTGTTCTATGTTTACATTAATTTCCAGTGGAGTAAACATCAAGAAAATTGTGCTCTTTAATATTTGTGCATTTTTTATATTAAAATTATTGGTCATTCTAAAATTTAGCCATCCAAGCTCTGTCTACATAAAGTTTTTCAACTATTATTTTTGGCTCAACATATGTAACTTTATTCATTTATTGAAACACATTTACATGCACACACTGTCCTAAGGGCAAAGCTGTATTGTACATGTAATCAAAATAATGTACAAAATGAATACTAAAATTTTAGTCTAGTGCAAACTATTGCATGTTTACATTCAAATTAATCACTATGTATAAGAATTCCAGCAATGTAAATAATATTCTCCCCGGTCACTTCTACGAAATTTTATATTAAAAAAACCAAAAACTCAATCTAAAGGAAATAAATAAACAAATAAATACTTCACTAGACCTTCGGAGCCTAACTGTCAAACATGTCACTGTCACCCCTCCCTCCCTACCCCCCCTCCTCCTAGCAAAGGTTTGGTGGTTTTCAGTAGGCTTTAAGTTTTTATTTTATATAATATCACAGATTAAAGTTGGGAGAATATAATTTGCATTGCTGGAATCCTTGTAAGACAGTGAATAATTTGAATATAAACGTCATATATTTTGCACGAGATAAAAATTTTAATACATTAGTACATTTTATAATGTAAAGTTCTCTAACTGTATTTTTGGGTAGATTTACATAAATTTCTTCATTTATTTTCATAAATTTACATGCACACACCATACTAAAAGAAAAGTAAAAGAAATAAGTGACCTAAAGCAAACCTGTAGTGTACATGTACTAACGGTACTAACAATACTAAAATTGTTATGTCTAGTGCCGGGTAGATATTGGAAGCATAATGTGTTGTCTAATGGTAGCCCCTGCTGCTATATGGCATCACGAAAATTGTGACCAAGTCCCAGGTTGCTCATCTGACTTTCTGCCTCAATTAAACACAATTGCAGGGTCTCAATTGTTTCTCTTACTTGACAACACAACATACATATATTATTTCTCACTATTTCTTTTATTTCTTCATAGTTCTTTTTTATTATTATTATTATTTTTGTTATTATTATTATTGTTATCAATACGTATTATTTTATTTTACTTTTATTATAAATTTTATTTACTATGAATAATTATTACATTTTCACCCCCCAGGCCCTGATGTGGGTCAGTGACCTGTGCCCGGGTGGGCTAATCCCCTTAAAAAAAAAAAAAAAAAAAAAAAATTATAGCTTGTTTATTATATTCAAATTAATCACTATTAATAAGAATTCCAGCAATGTAAATAATATTCTCCCCGGTCACTTCTATGAAAATTTATAAGCAAAAAAACAAAAACTCAATCTCAAGGACATAAATAAACAAATAAATACTTCACTAGACCTCTCAGCACCAACTGTCAAACCGTATCACCTCACCTCCTGCTCCCTCCCTCCCTCTCCCCCAGCTAGGGTTTTAGGCTTACAGTGTTTATCTTATATAAAATCTCAGACTAAAGTTAGGAGAATATAAGTTGCATTGCTGGAATCCTTGCAAGACAGCGAATATTTTGAATATAAACGTCATATATTTTGCATAAGAGATAAAAATTAATCACCTGTATCACATTACAATAGTGATTTAAGAGTAAGAGTGTATATGTACGTGTATATATATATATATATATATATAGACAGTGATTTAAGGGGGATTTAGGTGAATTTTAGGAGTGTTTTTGACTTTATGCATTTTTGGCTTTACTTTGTACGTATACAGGTATATACTTTTCTGTGAGCTGGAACCAATTACACAATATCCCATTGAAACAATGGTTTCGGTTAACGAAATTTTCAGTTAACGAACGACCCTCTGGAACGAATTGAGTTCGTTAACCGAGGGACCACTGTACTGTATGTCAAGTTTTGCATCACACATACTGTACAAACTCAGGTTTATTTATTGATTCAATATTACATTATCATATGATCAGCCTCGCCTGGTGTGCAACTTATTTTGATTGATATAACATCTTCAATAATAGAAAAATAAATACAATACAGTACATAATTTATAATGACTTAAAAAAAAAGGATAAGCTGTATGACAAGGTATTCACTCAGGATGTATTCCTACAGAAAGCTCTCAGCAAATCTGCATACAACAGGATCATTATAACATACTGTATAGTATATGATGAGGAGATATATTCCTAACAACATTATTTATTACCTTGATGGCTCAATTTAGCTACTTGTACACTTAGACAACTGATTAATGAACAATCCGGGGTATATGCAGACACACAATACACTACAATAATAGGTATTGTTTATTAAGTGCTGATAAATGCACTGTACAATAATATTTACTACATGCTGAAGACGATGTTACTGTAAGCATGAAAGAGATGGAGAAGCTGGCAACATGGTGAGGGACATCAGTTGTCGGCACTTTGGAAACAAGCACCGGGAATTTAATGCAAAGCAATGACTCATCTGGGGTTAATTGTGGGATTCTTTTTAGGGAAAGTTAATAATTTTATGGTAATATTTTATCAATATGGCACCAAATGAACCTAAGTAATATTGAAAGTTATGGAAAGAGTGATAAAGAAATTTATAAGGGAAAGATTGGACATTAATAAAATGCTGTTTGGATTCATGCCATGCAAGGAGGCTACAAAGGTAATATCTATGATCAGGCAAATACAAGAGAAATACCTAGAGAAGAAGATAAAGTTTTACTTTGTACTTGTAGACTTAGAAAAGGCTTTTGGCAGAGTACCTCTATAGTAGTGCAGTGGACAAAGAGAAAGTTAGGGGTCTTGTTTGAGTTATGACATTGAATGATGGCTCAAGAACCTGAGAGTAAATGGCAAGGAAAGTCAGGAATTTGAGGAGAAAGTAGAGGCCCATCATGGGTCTATCTTGAGCCCTGGGAGTAAGAGGGTGAATGACCTGTGGTAGAAAGTGGAAGATGACCAGGTGATGCCTGTTAATAGGGTGTTGGCAGTAATCTAATTATATGCAGTGAGTGTGGAAGGTGCAGTGATGTGTAAATGCCAACATTATATAAATAAGACAAATGAATTATCTCAAGATGCATACCCTAGAGGAAAGGATACAGCAGTGGCTGCTTCTGTCATATAATGAAGACCATAGTTGTACAGTTTGGTTCGACCACATGGATCTATCAAGATGTTATCTGGGCTTAAATTACAGTTGACAGTTCCAAAGTTGTTAAGGTATACGAGGCCTTGAAGTACCTGCAAGACAAAGAGGTACACTTAACTAATAAAACTGTATAAATCTACAAACAATTTTGAAGATTAATGATTTTTTCAGCTACAAGTAGGAATGATAAAGCCTTCCAAACAAATGATAAGTCAGAACTGCAAAAGTGAATCTAAATGGAAAACCCCTATCCTCTCTCCTCAGCAAATTTCTGTATGTAAGAATGTAATGTAACTTCAACTATACAGTACAATGGAAGGTTATGGAAAACAGGTTTCAAATTATGAGATTCCAAGTTATAGACATACAGTATTTTCAGGAATGTACGAACAATGTTGTATGTAAACACCTGACAATCCATGAGAACAAGATCACAAAATCTTAAATTGTATGTCACACTATACCTTATGGCAGAACATAGTCATGAAATAAAATAACCTACTAACATCTGAGAGCATATTACAAACTACACAACTTTACTCCATCCTGTCAACCTACCTGATGAGCTAACTTGGCCAGGCCTCGGTAACTCCTAAACTCAGAGTATTTCTGCACAGCAGTCCTCAAGTTCAGTAGATAATACTCTTGTATCACCATTATTCTCTCTATAATAATGAAATGACAAGAAAATAATCTTTATACTTGTACATATAAGGAGGGTGATGCTGTATGTTACAGAACTTTTGGTGTCACAGGTACAGTAAAAATACACAGTGCAGTACTGTACAATTACATACATTTGGAATAGGCAAATTTGATCCTAAGAACTCCTTTTATTACTGAGGCAGTGAGGAGTGACCTGGAAATATGCATACAGTACCCAGAAAATCCTTAAGGAAGAGTAACTGGTAATAGCTGATGAGATTGCTTTTCATATAAAAAAGGGAAACAGGCATTCATCTTACTCTAGCTCCCAACTTCCTACACAGAATTTTTGTATTGTTTTAAAAGCTACATAAAATAATTCCTCAAACATAGGAATATGTTTCATGATTTAGGGACTCAAGATCTCCAGCAAGATTACATTATGGAATAAATACCAGAAATGTTAAACAAAGTGTCAGGTGATGCAATCAATATCTACCAAGAAACTCAAACACTCAACTGTCAAACCCATTACTGTACTGTACTGTACCAATAACTAAGTAACCCACAACTATTGACAAGTCACCAGCATACATGGAATATCCAAGTGTGTAACCTGGAACACTGAGGATGAGGGCATGGCACTACATCTCCACTCATTCTCTAACTCAACATCAAAGAAAGATTTAGACAAAGCTGATCAGGAGGGGAACTTGCTTAATAGAAGCCACTGGTGTAGAGAAACTTCAGACCTGTTTCTGTTATGAGATAACTTGCAACATCCAAGTGGTTATGCTCTTGAAGGTTTGTCCAAAACTGTAAAGCTATTTCCCCTCAACTTCCATTATAAATATGGGGATGTGTTTCTATATAAAACATTAATTTTTTACTAAACTACTGGTATATAGTAGAACTACTGTACCTATATTACTTCCATTTTTAAATGAAGAGAAATTTGAGACGCATTCTTGAAAAATTAACCAATAATTACATTTGATTTGGGAGTTTAGTTTCCAACTGTGCCTTTTTAGTCTCATAGGCATATAGTATGTATGCAAACTGTAGAATAACCATTAGAATCTAAAAATATTTTGTTGAATTGTATCTTTTCTGTATCACAAACACTGGAATCTAGCAACATACACTGCACTACAATAAATGACACCAGTAAACTGCAGATTTATTCATCACTTCATTCCTTAGCTTGGGCAAAAATCCGTAGGCTAATCAGTACATCATCAGTTGGTGGTTGGCACTAGTAGTAGTGGCTATACCTTCACTTAATTTACAGTAATAAGCAATATATCTTACCTTAACTGTTTCAGCCCATGCAAATAATTTTAATTTATTTGCAACTAGAATTGTAAAAGGGAATGCATGTAAAATATACAGAAAAAAGGCTGCAAAGTTTCAAATCAATTGGCCAAGAACTAAATGAGTAATTGTTAAGTGTTTGCAAAAAGAAAGAAAGTAAAAGAAGCACAGGAAAAAATGGCCTCTCCTTTGGGTGAGACATAATACAAGTCATCAAACTACTGCTTGAATAATTCAAAATAACTCACCATGTTTTCCCCTATGAATATCCACATAGGAGCACAAGTGCGGATGGTTGATAAGGTGTAATGCTCGAGCTCGACCATAGATTCTGATTGAATTTGGTGTGAGGGGCAACCCATTGCTGCCACATGACTCACTAGGGTGAGCTGAGGCAAAGAAAGTGGATGCACCAAGGTGTGCTAGACCCAACTTTGGACTAACTGGGTACATTGTAATACGTAAGGGTTCTTCTCAGAAACAACAGACTCTGCAGACAAACAAATCCGTATTAATAATAATAATACTGTACTGTAACAATAACATTAGCTGGTCTTTGTTTCTCAAATGTGCCAGTTCTTCTAAAGAATGTACTACGGTAGCACTCGAAACACTACAGAGTCAAAGACTTCAGAATAAAAAGAAACACTGTACTACAATAACAAATGACAAAAAGTGACAGTTCGATTTCTATCATTCATATACAGTACAGTACCAATAAGTTTTAATGCTTCCTAAACCCTGTAATTCTCCAGTACTTGAAGATGAAAGAATGTACTGCACAGTAGTTATAAAAGGTTTAAAATAAGTAGTTTTATGAAGGACTAGTATGTACTTCATCATACAGTAATTTAGTTGAATGTCATACAAATACTCTACAGTACTGTACTGTAGATGAAGCAGGTTTGAGACAAATGAGGTATAAGTCTTTATCAACTCAGTAAACTTGATCAACTCTGCATTTAATCAATCAATAAATCAAGGTGTTGTTAACATCATGGCTAAAGACCCACAACCAGAACCTTCCACTCCAAACATTTTTAAGAGTGTCATTACCAAGCTTCTGCTCCTTCTTCAGGATCCAAGTGAAATATCATTCATCCAGCACAGTCTCTGCCTTCCCTTGGTCACTCTACCCCTTATTTTAACCATTACTATCTCAACCATTATCCCCCTCCTCTCTACGTACTGTATACAGTATATATGGCCAAATTATCTTTGCGATGACTGAAAATTGAATGATCCAAGAAATGTAAATAATACCTGTAGTTTAAATGAGTTGCTCCCCTTAATTACCTACTGTGTGACATTTCATCTGCCATCTTCTACATACTGTATACCTGGGCATTAATTCTGTATACCGTAACAGTAGAATCTTAGATTAGGTTTGGTAGGTAGTTCAGTTTAATTAATTTTATGAATGATATACCTGAATTAACATTGATCCCTCTTAGTAATTATTGGCAACTGCTAACATTAATGAACAAACAAACTTATAAGAATATAAAATTAAGATCCATAGTACCTTTATGTAATCATGTAATCACTGAGATGAATACATTGTGGCGTTGGATCTTGGTTGGTGCCGACGCATCCATAAACTGTCGGAGAAAGAAATTGTAAAATTTTTATCACACAAGGTGTATTTTTCCATCACTTTTTTATGAATTTCAAGATGTAAGGAAACATTTATTGTCTGGTGAAATTTCCTGGGCAATATCTGAGAACAGCACTACCACCAGAACGAGTTGTTCTATTTTATTCTTTTTTTTCAGATATTATTATAGTACAGGGGTAGGTAATTAAAAAAAGACAACATTTACTAGAACTGAATAGAACCTGACCAAACAAACCAAAGAACCTAACCTAACTTTACCGGTAAAACTTTAGTTTCGGTCATCCCTGTATTTAGATATCCAAGCTATGTACCTAACCTAACCTAATGTAACCTAACCAAATCTAACCAACCTATTATCGCCAGGGGTTAGACCCTCCCCCTTTCTAGTGAGGGGGTTAAATTCCTAAGATTCCCCAGACGACTGAAATTTAAATAATACCACTTTATCTACCTAACTTTCCAGCCAGGGGCATACTAGAGTCCCTACATACTGAGAGTAGTGACATAGGCGGTCCCGTGTCTAAATAGAAAACGCGGCTACTGGACGCCATCTCGACGCCACCGAGCCCCTCCATTGACGTTGACCTGTGGAGTCACACAGATCATATTCCTGGTTGGAAGTGGACATAGTGTGTAATGCCGTGCTGCTGTGCCATCAGATGTACTAATAAATTGGAGAAGGGATTTAAACTGTATAGATTTCCTCCAAAAGCTGAAAGAAGGAAAATATGGGTAAACAAAGTTGGTTGTCCGGATTGGAAACCGTGTCCATCATCTTATTTGTGTCAGGTGTTTTATGGGTGTGCTGTCATACACTAGGTGAGCAGGTTCACTAGGTGAGAAGCTCATTCTTATTTTCCATAGAAATCAGTATAAAATATAAGAGTTACACAAGGAATATGGACAGATGAAGAATCCGCGTAGCCTATTAAAAGTTACGCGAGCAAATTCTAGTCACTTATTATGCTTATTTATTTCCCTTGTTTTATATAAGCTGTGTCCTTGTGTTATTCTTGCCTGACTGAAATATTACCTGCATCAGCCTTCTAATTGTCATAACATTTTGCAGGAACCCTTTGAGGGTGATCAATTTGAGAACAAGTGAGTAGTTGGCAAACGGAAGCTCAAAAGGACTACAGCACCAACTCTCTTCTCTCACCGCGGTGTTCCCAAGCGTAGGAAATCTCCCATTATGCGAAACCACCCTGGCTCTTCTACAGGAGAACATATGAAAAGTTATGTTCAATCTGATCACACATATTGTGACATGCAACCAAGTGATAAGACATTGAATGTCTGTAACTTTCTAATACAATATTACTTTTACTTTTATCCTCTTCACCACTGATCGGTTTGTTAGTCGCTGGGGCGATCGGTCACGTCTCTGATTACTTTTCCTTTTCTTTTATTAGAGAGTATTGACAAATATCCACAAATTTTAAATATTTGTAATCAATACTATCTATCTATCCATCTGACTGTCTATCTATCCGACCAGAAGGAATTGTCTGAATTGGTTGAAATTTTTTCTACACACTAATATATTAAACACATAAGTGGAACCGACAATGTATAGAACCTGACCTAACATACCCAACCTTTATCAGCATAAAATATTTACTATGATGATGAAAACATGTGGAAAAAATTAACAAAACCAAACAACTCTTCTGGTAGTAGTGCTGTTCTCAGACAGATACACCCCATATCGTCGTCAATCCACATCGTCACCGACCCGGTTCGTCACCAAAACCCCAACTCGTCACCACTAACAGTCGCTGGTATTAGTGACAAATTGTAGGTTATTATTTTACACAAATACAGACGACTCGAGATGTATTGTGTCATTATTATACATGAATATTAATTATTTAATAGAGAAAACGTTTAAAACATTGGTAAATAAACAAAATACAGAACAAATTAAGGTGATTTGGAACCAGCGCATAATCCACTGAGCAGTGAGATGATTGCAGGCATATTAACAATGTTTTTATATTTTATTTTCGTCTTTAATAAATTATCTTGGTGTTTTTAATTATTTTATATCCCAAGCAACAGTTATTTTCGTGTATATATTGATGGGAATTAACAGGGTTACGAAAGGGGTAGAGCAGTGGTAAATATATGGGCAGACCCCGATTAAAGTTTTGTTATACACTAATTTTATGTATTTTCACTATCATTACAGAATTAAACTGTAATTATTGATGACTGTATTAAATAATATGTCACTAGCTTTAAGGAGTAAGGATAATATGGAACAGTAATGAGGATGAATAACACTCACAGCTGAGAGTGGAGAGAAATGTTTATAATCCACATGGTTCGTGTAATGTCCATGACGTCATTTAGAGCTTGTATTTCTCAAACTATTTTATTGACTACGTGGAATTTCAATATTTTGCATGCATATTGTATATATATATATATTTGTTTTTCTTCATATAATCATACATATCCATGAATGTTTTTGTGTATGATAGCTTGTGTATGGTGACACAAGAATGACGTCACATACCCTAAACGACTCCATCCACTGTCCGGTAAACGCCCCCTTCTCATGTCGGGGGTACAGGGTACAGTATTAACAATAATGGTCACGTTAATATTGACGCTGGCATCTACAGGTGGATACACCTCCTTAACCTAACCTAACATTAACTTAATATAACCTACTCTTAATTTAAGTTAATATTAACTTAATATAACCTTTTTTTAAGGTAACATTAACTTAACATAACCATCTCTTAAGGTAACATTTACTTAATATAACCGTATAAGGTAACATTAACTTAATATTGTGGTGGATTTCTCCCCTTCAAACGCTGTTTGTCGCTGAGTAGCCGACCCCGCGAATTCCCCAGTGTATGCCTCGTGGTCTGGGTCAACCAGCGCCGCCTTACATGACGGTCAACTATTAAGCCACGCCTACCTCCGCTGTAAAAGACTTGATCTCGTGGTGACCTCTCTCTTCTTCTAGCTACAGCCGCAGCCAGCAACACCGCCTCCTCCGCCTGCCTGGCGGTCCTCTCTCCCGCCGGCGAGCTTGGCGACCCACAAGCTGTCCTTCTCTGAGCGTCCTCACCAACCAGCTCTCTCTACATCACGCTTGTAACCATGCTGCCTTCCCAGCACCAAGCTGCATTGTACATCCAATACAACATGTATATAGAGAGCACATTGTGAGTTTCCTTTCTCCAACCCATCCTGAGTGTGAACCAAACATCACATACCCCACAATATAACTTTCCCATAAGGTAATATTAACTTAATATAGCCTTCTCTTAACTTTTACTTTTTATTTTTATCCTCTTCAACACTGATCGGCTCCTTAGCTGCTTGGGCGTTCGGTCACGTCTCTGTTACGCACTGTTGGCAAGTACTGGGCATGAACTGGCTCCTGAATGTACCTGAACCTACTCCAGTGTTGGTCAAGTCTGGTCTTGAAAGAGCTCACACTCGGTGCCGTCACAACACTCACTCCAAAAAAGTTTACCCACACAGTTTTCTGGACTTGCAGCTTCTTCAACCTTGAGCTGTGATCCATTTGTGGAGCGGGCGTTCGTCAGCTCCAGGTAAGGACACTGGACAGAGTAGTGCCCTTTGAGATGCTTATACTTGTACACCTCAATTACGTCTCCCCTTCCCCGTTTGTAGTATAAGTTAGGCAAGTTCAAGCGCTCCAATCTCTCAGGGTAGTTGACGTGCCGAAGTGCAGGCACCAGTCTGGTGGCCCTCCTTTGAACATTTTCAACCAACTGACAGTCCCTAGCATATCTCGGGGACCAGACAGGGTGACAGTACTCCAGATGGGGAAGCACTTCACTCTTGAAGATCGTTATGAGGGACGGACTGTCTAGATATCTGAACGACCTTCTTATAAGACCCAATAATTTATTTGCCTAATTTACCTTCTTCTCGCAATGGCCCGAGAACTTCAGCTCATTGTCAACATACACACCTAGGTCCTTCTCACATTCAGTCTCAAATAGTGCAGTTTTCTCATCCCATTGGGACATATGATACGCCTTCTTTTCCGTTGGTACGCCCCAGGTGCATTCTCTTACACTTCGTGACACTGAATCTCAGCAGCCATTTCTTCGACCATTCTTGGAGCTCACAAGAGGTCCTTCTGCAGCTCTTCACAGTCCGCTTTGTTCTTGATTTCCCGAAATAACTTGGCGTCATCCGCAAACATTTGTATGGAGGAGTGTACGTCAGGTACAGATGATGATTTCGTGCCATTAACCACCACACACTGCTTGCGGTCATGTAGAGTCTTCTATCCACGCAAGGACTTTTCCCCAAATTCCATACCCTTCAAGATTGATTTTCAGCCTTACATGGGGTACTCTGTCAAAAGCCTTGGCAAAGTTTAGGTATATATTGTCGATATTACCACCCCGTTCCAGAATATGGGTCCAAATATCCAATACCTTGAGCAATTGTGTTAAGTAGGAGCGCCCAGGCATAAAACCGTATTGGCAATCCTTTACAAGGTTGTTTCGTAGATGTTCCATCGCGGCATCTATGATATATAATACTCTCAAGTACCTTACATACTATGCTGGTCAGGCTCACTGGTCTATAGTTGTTCGTGGAGTGACGATCACCGTTCTTGAAGATAGGACTCGCATAAGCCATTTTCCAATCACTGGGGACCTTTTGTTCATCTAGGTATTTACAAAACAGGATCTTCAAGGGCTCAGCAAGCTTGTTGCACAACTCTCTTAGCACTCTGGGATGCACCATGTCAGGTCCGGGACTCTTTTATTTCTTATACCCTACTCTGTGAACACAGTGAGGGTCAGTGCTGTGTCGAACCATCTGTCCTCAAACACATTAACTTAATATAACCTTCTCTTAAGGTCACATTTACGTAAAAGACTTAAGAATCTGGATAAAACAATGTGGACACCCCTGAACATATATTTGTCTAGAAGCAGAGGTCAGAAATAGGAGGGAGGGGTACCTGGGTCAACAGAGTAACATTTATCTGCATAACCAGAGCTAAAACTGAGCCTTGGGGTGTGGAGATCATGAAACCATGTGATGCCGTTGTAAAAAAATGGTGTCAGTTGCATACGGTGCCATTTCCCAAAATGGCTGACATTCCATTGTAGCGTACTGTCGTGGCAGGTTGTCAGGGTCTCTTATTTGGCCTCACAACGTACGTACATGAAATATATCCAACACTCAGGATTGAGGTAGAAATAGAAAATCACAGTGTTTCTCGCATATATATTGTTGCACAGCACAGTGTTAAAGAGATACTAAGTCGGGCGAAGCTTGCTCAGAGTTCCTGTAGGGCGAGGAGCTTTCTGAGAGATGTTGCTTGTTGGTGGCGGTAAGTAGAAAGAGGACGATGAAGGCCAGGTGAGGGCTTATATAACTGCGGTAGGCGTGGCTTGATGGAAGGCCCCCGCTTTGTTTGGCGTCGCTGGTTACCTGACCTTGACCACGAGGGATATGCCGGCAGATTCGCAGGGTGTCGGCCAGACAGCGACACACAGCGTTTGTAGGGGAGGCCTCCACTACACCATCAAAAGTCAGCATCTCTGGAATTATGCGACTCTAGGTGACGATTTTGGTGTCAATATGATTGTAGGGTCAATGAACCTGATAAAAATAAATTTAGATCAATTATACAAATACTAACTCAATTTTATGTAATGCAAAAAAATATCACCAATGTTTACGCAAAATCCTACGTTTTTTTTATTATACAAGTGCAATTTCACGTCACCTCTATTCTAATGTGTGATTCAATATGTACAGTCATTCTCTGGTGTAGGCATCTTCACCTGTTAACCTACTTTGCATTGAAAAGGATAAATACCCCGGTAATTACCCTGTTCTTAAATAAAACTTAAAACTGGTGAAAACTTGACAACAATATGAGCAGAATAAATACTGTAACAAGTTTAATACACTATGGCGAGTAGATGAGAACCATTAGCTTATCCACCTCACAGTGTCCCTAAGAGCTTTTGTGTGGCCACTTGTGCAGTGTCTCAAGCATTATTTTGCACATTTAAATCCATATTACATCACCATAGCTAATGACTGCATTCTCTTTATTCTCACTGCCACTAACTGATTATATAAGTTAGTGAAACGCCCATACAATGGACTTCTCTCTCCATATAAACCATTAGATGTGAGTTTTACATCCATTGGGCCCTCAATTTAATTTACTTTCATCTCTATATAGTTCACTGGATGGAGGTTTCACATCTTAAAAACCCTCGATATAACGACTTTCCTCTCCATATAGTCCGATAAATAGAGGTTTCACTATAGCAATAACTGAGAAACCTACCACACAAATTTTGCATTATGTCACCTCCCTCCCTAACCTTGGATGTACAGTACAGTATAGTCTCGATTTAAGCGGATTTGGTTTACGCGTTTGGTCATTTACGCGGCACCTTGCCAGACCGACAATTTTTATTTAGACGGTTCATTCCATCATTTACGCGGGAAGCGGCGCGGGCAGGGTGCGCATAAGGTCGCCCAGTCAACAAAACATTACCGAGTTCTTCACCCGCCACAGCCAGCCCACGTCAGTGATAGTGAGTGAGGATATGGACTTTGAGGGGTTTGACAAAGAGGCCCTGCAAGCCTCTGTGGTGGATAGTGATACAAGTGATACAGGTGAGGGCCAATAATCTGCCCTCTGCCTCAGAACCAACCCCAATCCCCGTGTACCCAGCCATCTCTTCTACTAGGTAAGTGTTAAAAAAAAATATTATTATTGATATTTCTATTAAATATTAATTGTGTGTGCATACCATCATAAAATTAAGATGTTATTTTTACTACGTTACATAACATAGTGTGTCTGGGTGAAGTATAATTTGTTTATTTATTGAAGATATTTGTTTTTAGCTCATAAAATTCATAGAAATTATCCGGCCAGAATGTAATTTACATTGCTGGAATTCTTATAAGATAGTGATTAATTTGAATATAATCAAGCTAAAATTTGCATTATACATACAAATTTTAGATCTAATTTAAGAATTTTATTAGAGCAAAAATTTCATCTTTTGTGCAAAATATATGACGTTTATATTCAAATTATTCGCAGTCTTGCAAGGAATCCAGCACTGTCAATTATATTATCCTAAACATAGTCTGAGGTATTATTTATTACTAAACCTAAAAACCAAGTGTTTTCACCCAAACATTTCTCAGGGAGGGAGGAGCCAGCGAGCGTGGGAAGAGGGGGTTGAGTCCATTAATTGAATGGACATTAACCAGCGACTGTATTTCTCTTAAATATTAATTGCGTGTGCATACCATCTTAAAATTAAGATGTCATTTTTACTACAA